GAATCCGTGTTAATTGATGAATATATCTGAGCATCTGTTCATCTACAACAGTCATGTTTAGCTTCTTCCATTTTCTAATAATTGCTCCATCGGTTGATCTTTTTTCACCAAGCTGCTTGGCAATTGCCTCGTAGTCCTTTCCAGCCTTGTGGAGGTCTACAATTTTGTCTCTGGTGTCTTTGGACAGCTCTTTGGTCTTAGCCATGTTAGTAGTTGGAGTCTTACGGATTGTGTGGGTGAACAGGTGTCTTTATGCAGCTACCAACCTCAAACAGGTGTTTCTGATTTAGAATAAAGTCCACCTCCACTCAGTGGAGTGGAGGTGGACTTTTTAGAGGTGGACTAACAGGTCTTTGAGGGCCAGAACTGATTGACAGGTGTTCAAATACTTATTTGCAGCAGTAACACACAAATAAATTATTAAAAAATCTTACATTGTCATTTCCAGATATTTTTTTAGATTATGTCTCTCACAGTGGACATGCACCTAACATGAATATTTCAGACCCCTCCATGACTTCTAAGTGGGAGAACTTACAAAGTCGCAGGGTGTTCACTTATTTTCCTCACTGTAAATGAGTCCTCGAGGCTCAATGAGACTAACCTGTATAAATAAAGGTTGGATGAGTAAACATCTCCCCACACCTTCACCACAGTACAAATATCTCGCTACAGATCTAGTTAGGTTTGTTTTTCTGTGTCTCACTTCTTGCAAACGTCTGACAACTGTAAAGCTGAAACTGAGAATTGGATCAACTTGCTACATTGATGAGAGCCTCACCAACAGGAGTGGTGGTGCCTGGGAGCTGCAGTCCTCTCTCCTGACACGTCAGCTGCATCTCTGTGAACACTGACAAAGCCCCGTCATAGTCACCTGAAGTAACACAAGAAGTAAAAACATGCTCAAAGAAATCCTTCGTGCTCTGACAACCTGTAGCAGTACACACCATCACACATCTGGCTGAACTCACGGGTGAGGATTTTACAGGTGGCCATCTCTCCCATTGACAGCAGAGCTTCAATGGGCGTCTGAGTCTGAAGCTCTGCAGCCCTCTGATAGTGAACAATCGCTTCTCCTGGTCTGTTCATTTCCTATTGAAGTCAAAATGAGCCATTTGGATTAAATAAACCTTAAAGCAGAACTCAAGCTCTAAAAGAATCTGCATCATGAATCATAAGGGACAGCTATGATCCAAACCTTGAGCGCATTGCCAAGTTCCAAACACAGGCTGGCTGCCATAACAGGCTGGTTCATCTCGATGTACACCTGAAATCCATTTTCACACCAGCACTCAGTCACAACACAGGAATGTGGAGCAGAAGCTACTCCGCAGGGCTCGTACATATTTTACAGCGAGGTGGTTATTTTCAGGCACTAAATGTTAGGGCTCGCTCCAGGAGGTGCTGCATACCTTGATGGCAAAACTGTAGCAGTTGAGAGCAGCTTGAAGGTGCTCATCGAAGCCCGGGGCGTGCACGGCTCTGATCTCCTTCTCAGATGAGAGAAACAGGCGAGCGGCGTCGGTTAACGCCAACGCTTCTCCAGGGGCGTTAAAGAGAGTCTGTTCACACCTGCAGTCAAGAGATCAGTGAGAAAAGTTTGTTTTAAACCAGTAAGGCCTAATTGTAAGTGCCAGTGTACCAAGTTATGATAAATCATGGGAGCACGATGGCTCAGTGGTTAGCACTGTTGCCTCACAGCAACAAGGTCCTCAGTTCAATCCCTGGTTGGACCTGGGGTCTTTCTGTGTGGAGTTTCATGTTCTTCTCGTGCATGCATGAGTTTTCCCAAAGTACTCTGGTTTCCTCCCACAGATCAAAAACCATCATGTTAGTCTGCCTTCAGCCCCAGGCCTCCGTTACAGAAGAGATCTGTGATCTCAGTGGGATTTGCCTGCTTAAATAAAGGTTAATAATACATTAGTACACCGACATGATGATAAATAATGATTAATAATAATAAATGATGATTAATAATAATACATGATTAATCATTATAAATGATGATTAATCATTATAAATGATGATTAATCATAATAAATGATGATTAATAATAATACATGATGATTAATCATAATAAATGTTTGCAGCTTTAGTTTTCCAGTCTTTTCAGAACTGGAGGCTGCACATAAAGACCAATAACATGACATGAGGTCAATCAAACTGGTTTCATGATGTAATGTTGGGAAAACTCAAGTTTAAATCTTGCTACTTTTACGCCAAATGATCAACACTGTATGTGGATCAACTGTACTTATACATCACCTTTCTATCTTATCAAGATACTCAAAGCTCTTTACAACACAATCAGTGCCTCATGTACCCATTCATACATCACTCTACAAGATCTCTACAGAGAATAATCAGAGCTTTATCACATTCATACACTGATGGGACACACATCAGAGGCAATGAGGGGTTCAGTGTCTTGCCCAGGGACACTTCGGCATGTGACTGCCGGTGGAATTGAACCCCCAACTCTTACATTGGAGGACGACTGCTCTAACCACTCAGCCACAGCCGCCCCAGTACCAATGAAGGATTGAAGTACTTCTTTCTTTATTGGCTCAGAGAAATCACGGTGTTCCCAGAAACATTCCACAAAGAAAGAAAAGGCTGTGAGAGCTTGCACTTTTCTTTACTGCCATTTTTCTTGCTTCCAGAAGAAAGTGCTGTCTATATTTAGGCTGCGCTAAAAAAAAAAGATGCATCTTTCTGCCAACTTTCTAAGAACCAAACTGAGGATGAATGCTGATGGGGGTGGGGGATAAAAACATGATGGTTGCTTTCTAACACCATAGGTTTTTAAAATCAAGAGCTGAATTACATTTTTATATTGTTTCTTTCCTTCCTGCTTTCTTTCCATCCATTCATCCATCCATCCTGTTTCTTCCTTTTCAGGTCACAGGGGTCACTGGTGCCCATGTCCAGCTATTAGTGTGTGTGGGGGACACCCTGGACAGGTCTCCAGTCCATCACAGGGATACATAGAGACAAATGAGACAACCAACCATTCACTCTCTCACTCACACCTTTAGACAATTTAGAGTTACCAATCAGCCTAACATGCATGTTTTTGGTCTGTGGAAGGAAACTGGAGTACCTGGAGAAAACCCATGCATGCACAGAGAGAACATGCAAACTCCACAGAGAAAGACCCCCAGTTGGGATTTGATCCGGCGACTTTCTCACTGTAAGTAGGTAGCTCTACCAACTGCGCCACTGTAACCATTTCAATGTAGTTATTTATATAGCACCTTTTCAAAACAAATTCTAACGCTATGCATTCACATACAGTACAATATGAACTGCTAATTGGTGAATGTTGTGTAATAAAGCCAGAAAATGGTGTTGCTTTAACTTCTGGGCGATGCTCCATCCTGACAAAGCATGCTGGAGACAGTAGAAAGGAATGACTCTCTTTAAACAAGAGTAAAACACCAAGAAACATTTCAGAAGAACAACAAGAAGAACTTTACTTATGCTACGAACTCCTAAGGAAAAAGAAAGGCATGAGTCCTGAATGATGATGATGATGTTCTTCATAACTTTAACTTGCTGATACGGAGCACTTAAAGAAAACGGTCTGTGCAGATTTAATCAACTGCCAGAGAAGATTGATGCAGCGGCAGCAGTTGTTATTGTAATATAATGTAAGTACTGTTTATATAGCAAAACATACCAATACAGGCAGGATGGATAAAATGTATTTACTTTGACGGTTTTTATCCAATAGAAATACTTTAAAGTAATCCCACTGGGCTGTTCCTGAAGTGGATGTTACTCACCGGGCCATGGCCAGGTTACAGAAGGCAGCATACTGGAGACAGTCCTGCTGCTTCAGCTCCTTCGCCAGCTGACCTGGAAGCACAAACACAAAGGAAAATACAGAAAATTCCCAGTGAAGGCGTCTGTTCGCCAGTATCATGGGGGAACAGGTCATGATTTGACATCTCTTGTCCTGACATAACAGATTTTATTTAACCTTTATTTTACCAGATGAGAGATTGACGAACAGAGGAGAAAACAAAAAGCCCACTAGCACAAATGTGTAAAAGAATCCAGACGTGTTAGTCATGACAAATATGAACTGTGCTTTGACTAATGCTTCTGGTTTTCTCAGTCACTGTCACTTTTCACGTTTCTGCATCTCACTGTAGATGTTTAATGCACAACACTGCAGGTTTCTGTTGGTTTTCAGTCATTTTGTGTCACTTGAAGATCGTCTTTGTCCAGTTTTCTGACTTAGTATTCGGATCTTTATCTCCTTCCTGATCAAATGTAATGTTTCATTTCTCAGCCTCATGTCTTGTTTTTAGTCTTGAGTTTGTGTCATATCAAGGAAATTTTCAACCATTTGTTGCTACATAACGTATTTTTCGGCCGGTAAGTCACGGCTTTTTGCATAATTTACATGCCCTGCGACTTATAGATTTTTCCCATATTTATAAAACAATTTTTGGCAGAGATATGACCGTTTTCATTCATTCTGACTGAAATATCGCACACTACCATTTTCAGCCACTAGTTGGCACTCGAGTATTCTGGCATGCCATTGCATCATGTAATAGGTAAAAGTGGCTAATAATGACACAATCGGCTTGCCATAGCCCCCACACCTTCGTTCTGCTTGCTGTTTAGAGCAACCGTCCAATCAGCTTCATTTCACTGCGCCACCCCGACAAAATGCAGCTGATTTGACCATTGAAGTGCATTTATTAAACAAAAGTTCAACAGAGACACACCTTTACTATAAAGTCGAGCAAACAAATAAATGTTTTTAGGTGGTTATCTTGTTAAAGGTTTGTAGGCTCAATTATCCAGGTAGATAATAAAAGATGAAACGATTTAACCTTCTTTTGTTATCTTGTTAAATTTGCACAGCAACGCTTACATCTGCGTATCAGGTTTTGAAATGCAGCTGATTTGACCATCAAAGTGCATTTATTAAGGAAATGTTAAACTGAGACATACATTTACTATAATTTTTAGCAAACAAATAACTGTGTTCCAAGCGTTAATCTTGTTAAATTCTTGTTAAAGTCCTCCCGTGCACGCTCCCACGGCCGCCATTTGGCAGCCAATTGATTTTTGGCACAACACCGGCCCACATTTTCAGGTTGTCAGCGGTGACACATAATAGATGCGACTTATACGGCGAAGCGACATTTGGTTTTTTCTACTTTATTAGACATATTTGGACTGATGCAACTTATAGGACGGTGTTACACGTACAGCGGAAAATACGGTATGTGGTTCTTTTCTATCTCAGCGTCTCCTTTAGTTTAATTTGCAGCAGTGGGTCCAGAGTTCGAGATGAACTGGTTTAAAATCAGCTGGTGAGAATTCTCAGGCTGAGACTGTCGTAACTCAGAGGTAGATGACTGGGTCAACGTCTGATTAGAGCGCTACAAAAATGACCAGTGTAAAAATTGTTCTTGTTGTCACCATTCAAACTTGTTGCAAACGTTGTAATTGTTACCTTCAGAAGAAAACTGTTCAGTGTAGGCTTCATTAAAACTTTCCTGGAGTGGAAACCGCACTGAGCTGCTAAAAAGTGTGGCTGCCTGAGCTCAGACTGTGATTGTTTGCCGTTATTGGACCTGTGGCAGACAGACACAGGCTGAGCTGCGATGTTAGTGGATGAAAAGAGTCCTGAAGTTTTACAGCAAAACCGGAGTTCTTTTTGAATCAGCACATTTGGAAGAAAACAGCAAGCCCTTGTCTCAGCTGTTTTTGACGACAGGAAATTGATCTGTTCAGAATAGAAGTAAAAGCTTTCTGCAGGTGTAGGTACAGGTAACAATAATAGGAATGGAGCATCTATTTATAGAAGATGAGCTGTTGAATGTAACCAAGTTGCTTGTGTTTGCACTCTGAGGACACAGAAGCACCTGGAGGCTGCTCACTGAATGTGACAAGATGCTTCAAAGATGCAGAGCGAGCTGCAGCTGCTGCTCAGAAAGCTGCATCGCTGCCATATGCTCCAACTTTACAAACACGGACACGTCCAAAGTCTGACTGGGAGGTTTGTTTCCATCCAAACCCTCCAGACATGGCCAGCCACGGACACGTCTCCACCTGGCCGACTCTGATGACAACTGTTTAAAAAAATCATCCGCACAATGACAACACCGTGTGTGCCGTCAGCTGTTTATCCTTTATGTAACCCGTCCAGATTACCTGACTGTCAGAAGTGTCGCACAAAGTGAAAGCGTTTCAGCTGTCACAGTTTGATGTGCCATCTTGAGCGTTCCCTGTTGCGGTAATTAAAAAATGAATGTAGTCAAGGAGAAAATTGGTCTCTCCTTAAGTTTGTACACATCCCACAACATCCTGACAGAATGCAGACAGATTGTTTGACAACCATGATAAATGCTGCTTCTTCCACGTTATCTTCCTACTCCTGTCAGTCGTCGTGCACACTTTAAGGCAGCTGCTTCACTGGAGCCGTTTCAGCCTCCTAATGAAGATCTTTTAAAGCCCAGGAGGAAAGACTGCAGTGTTTGAATTAAAATAAAAACATACAGTATATCTCCTCTCCCTTGTTAAATTGTATTTTATTAAATCTTACCAACTGGTTTAATCACTGGCTGTGGAGCAATAATCACCTGGCCCTCTGTGGTTCATGCCTGTTGTGAATCATTTACTGTTAATTGGGCAAACATGTCGACAACAAATTATATTACTGAAGTCAGACGTAGGCAATAAGAAAAACAAACTTTGTTTACTCGTGTTTTTCTTGTGAACCTGTGGTTTAAAAGAACAGGCAAAAAGAGAGGGCTAAATGTGTGTAAGTTTACAAGTTGATTTAATGCATCTACTTTCTCTATCAATATTTTAGAAGTATGAGAAATCAAACAAGGCAATAAATTATTTTCTTCATTAACATTTTTATTGCCACAGGAGATTCTTGTACCCCCCCACCCCGGAACATAGGAGGCTCTGCGGTGAAGTGGTCTCTAGCTACAAGTACTTGGGTGTACACATGAATGACAACCTCAGCTGGAGCAACAACACCACCAGCCTGATCAAGAAAGCTCATCAGAGACTCTACTTCCTCAGGCGGCTGAGATGAGCTGGTCTGGGAAGCTCAGTCCTCACCTCCTTCTACAGGTGTGCAGTGGAGAGCACCCTGTGCTCCAGCATCAACGTGTGGCATGGAGGCTGCACAGCTGCAGAAAGAAAAGCTTTGCAGAGAGTGGTGAAGGCTGCACAGAAGATGTTGGAGTCAGCCTCCCCACCATCACAGACATCTACACCTCCAGATGCAGGAAGAGAGCCACCTGCATCATGAAGGACCCCACTCACCCAGCACACACACACTTTTTGTCTCACTCCCCTCAGGCAGAAGGCTGAGGAGCATTAAGTGTAGAACCACTAGACTGAGGAACAGCTTCTACCCTGAGGCTGTTAGACTCATGAATATCTAATCAGGTAAATCACAAAAAAAAAAAATCACTGTAATGACAAAAGTTAGATTTAATTGGTGATATGTCACTTTATCTGTGCTGCTGATTTCTTACCTTTAAGCTGCTGTATTCAAACCCATTTGCTCACTACAGACTCGTGTTCAGGCTGCTGTTTAATATTTAATGTACCGTTTAATATACTGTATTATTTTACATTATTAGTGTTTAGTGTATATCTTAGATCCTTGTATACTGTTTCTTTTTATACTTAATATTTTTGCTATTTTTGGGTGTAACTGGGACCTTGAGTACATAATTTCATTCCACTTCATGTACCACATGTGATGAGAATGACAATAAAGAACATTGACCCTTGAACTATTACAGCATCTGTAGCTTCCATGTGAAATGCTTGTCTGCCTTGAACCCTGTTAGAAAATGTTTTACCACCTGACAACAGACAGAACCACCATTGGCACTCAGGTGCCGTTAAATTCCAGGCCTTAATATCATAACAGGTCATAGCTGTTGTACGTTGTCAGACGAGGCACAACGCTGTAGATGGTATTGGATCGGCTGCTGAGTCCACCAACTACTGACATCCAGATTGACAAAATGCTTAGATCGATAGTCTGATCAGATCCTTGCGATTGGATCATTGATCCATTTGATTAGACTTTTATGAATGTTATTCTCATAAGTTTGTCTAAACATCCTTAAATCGTGAACATCAACCTACGATCACTGACAGATACTCACCAAACTGCTCACTCGCCTCGGCTACATTGGGCTTCCGGAGAAAACGTCTGTAATGAAAAATCATAAATTGATCAAACTCTGGACAAACAACAGGGTTCAGTCTAATTCACCAGCACGTTAATGAAAGAGTATGTGAACATTTTCTGTGTTCAACCAATCGGTGGCCTGCAGTTGTACACACTGCCAAGCACACTGAAGTCCATTGGTTTGGGCTGACTTCAAGAAATATTTTACTCATTCTGAAGAGAATTCAATAGAAACGTTACAAAAACAAATATCCTACCTGTTGCTGATAGCTCAAAAACAGCATTGAGTTGGAAAAATGAGACTGATAAGCTAATATGTAGTCAGAATGGCAAAATAACTTAAAATAACCACAATTCCTTAGCAGTTCACAAAATAAGCTTTAACTTTTATGTCAACTTCAATTTCCTATTACATGGATATTTCGGCAAAATTGTACATTTCTACAGGAAATGGTACATGCTGCACTGGAAGTGCTACAACAAGCTTCTTCTGCTATTTGCACATGCAAAATTACATACAATTTATTTTTGAATAACTGTCTATGAAGCAGATGATCTAAAAGGTCTAGAAACAGTGTTCACACTAACCTCTATGAAACAGTGGAGAGTACTTTGAAGATGGCAGCAATATTATTTTGTCTTGACTGTGTTTGGACTAGCCATTACCTCATCAGTCCAGTAAGAATTAATCCCTATTTCTCCAAACTGAGGCCATTTATAGAGATATTTACAACAAGAACATTATTTATTACTCATAGATTTAACAGAATTGTAATTCAAAACAGCCAGTATCCCTTTAAAGAATGTAGCAGCATCTTTTCTTTCTGAGGAAACTGAAATGGGCCAAAATTCCTCAGCAGCTTATAATCAACTTCTACAACTGTGCTATTGGAAGTGCATTAACCTATAGATTCCTAGTGTGGTTCTCCAGCTGCACTAAGGCGGACCAGCAGGCTCTTCAGCGGGTGATTAAAACAGCTGGGAAGATCATTGGGATTACCCTCCCAGAGATCAGAACTATCTATACAACCCACTGTCTGAGACGAGTCAACAACATCCTGCAGGACAGATACCATCCTGCACATGGCCTTTTCCACCTGCTACCCTCAGGCAGAAGGTACCGGTCTATAGGTGCCAGGACTACCAGAATGGCTCCTGGCTCACAGTCTGTACCCACAAGCTAAATGAACAGCATCTCTCTGTAACTCCGTCCACGATCCTTACATCTCATTATGACTATAACTGTGAAATGGATATTGCATTGCTGCAGCAACCAACCAACTACTACCCTTCAACATCTGGCTGTTTACAGTTTTCCCTTCGTCTATCTTGACCTTAGATGCTGTATCATTATCTGTGTTTACAATGATCATCAGAACCTTGCAAAGTTCTTTCGTACCATTATGTGCTAATTCACTAATGTGTAGGTGTAGGATTCTCCATCAAAATGTTGTTGCTGTTCATAACTGTTATTATGGCAATGACAATAAAATTTAAAGTAAAGTAGGGGTGTGAGACAGTTCAGGCAGCTTGTAATGAAGTAATCTTGACTGAGGCACAGCAACAACTCAACCACTTCAGTAACAAAGCTGCTAGTAAAGAGTGACACCTAAAGGAGATTGATAGTTAACCCTGACTCTCTGGCTACACGAGGCATTTCTACACACATGAGATAACATCCGAAATATTTTGTATGAATGTTTTCACAGGGCCTGCTATTCTATAGAAGCTGAGCTTTACAAAATAATTAGTTCAGCCAACAAAACACTAAAAAGTTGGATGAAAGCAGGACAAAATTACTGAACCACATATTCAAAAAGCTAACATTGTGTTGTAGACATTATGAAAGAAATCAATTTAAACTATTGCTCAGTTTAAACCATACATTTTTCATTTTTTGTGAATATTTTTTGGAGATTACATCCCACAAGAAAATTGGAGAAAGGAAAGCCATTTGTTGTTGCAGAGAAAGAAGAAAAAAAAACAGGTTTTGGAGGAAAAGAGGTCTGGATTATTATGTTTTTAAACAAATATAAAATACTGTGAAAAAGAAAAAGGATCCTGGAACACAATAACACAAAACGTCTTTGTGATAATTTTTTTTTCTACCTTACATATTTTTAGATCATCTCATAATGGTCTTATGATTTTGATTAGTATGCTAAACCAACACTTTTACAACAACAATCAAGGACTTTAAAGGGTCCGAGACAAAATAGATGCATCAGTGACAGATCTGTGTGCACCAGTACAAATGAATGTCAACATCGTAGGCTCGGAGTTAATTTAAATACAGAGTAAAATATCAGGGTCAGTGCTGAACCAGAGGTTTAGCCGTGGGCTGTTGCTAGCTAGCGGCTAACATTGGTAAGCTTTTAACAGCTCGGGTCATTTTTCATAAATTCGGACCGACAATAAAAACGAATAAATGGTATATGCATTTAATACTTCAAATAAGCGCGAACAGGTATGAATGATACACATTTTGTAACACAAACCACTCCAGTTACCGCTAGCTGTGGATCTTAGCGTTAGCAGAGGCAATGCTAAAAGTGTGGCTAAAAGCATGCGATACATAACAATATGCTAACTCAGTTGTTCATTCCTCAATCAGTGTGAAATATAATAACTCCAAGTCCTACTAACTTTTTAAGTTTATTTGATACAGCTCGGTATCTCGCCAGAAAATCTCCTTCTGCAGCCATATTCACCAAAACAAAACAAACCAGGAAGCTCTACCGACATCTGAAATACGATTGGCTAGTTGAATTTTCACATAACGATTTCATTGGCTGTCGTGATCACGTGTTCACCATGGAAGAAAACGCTCAAATTAGGAGTTGATGTAGTACAACCACAGTAAAAATGCAATAATTGAAAGACATTTGCTTTAATGTACAGTTGTTATTACTATAAAATAAATTTTACAACATTGTTTTTAGTTTACTGTACTTCACATTTACTTTACGGCTCTAGTTTGTAGTTAAAATGAAGATTTAAACTTATTTTAAGTTTACAAATCCCTAAACATTGGTTAACTCCAAAAGTATACATACTAATAATACTAATACTAATAATAATAATAATAATGCCACTGGGTTATTGCCAAAGTGATATTTATAATTGTTTAGCCAGTCAGTTTTATATACAACATTCCAAACAAATTAAATATGTAGGCTTACATTTGCTAGTTTAAATACATGTTCCTGGTAGTACTTCTATTTACATATTTTGAATATAAGATTTACTTTCCACAGAGTAAGTTGTGCTTTATCAGCAGAAGGTACTGTTTCTTGGCTGTTTTAATGATGATAAAAGAGCACAAAACAGATGTTTATTTATTGTACCAAGCAAAGTATTCAGTTGAAAACAAATTAGTTTTTTATTTAAAAGTTTTCATAAACAGACTCAGATATGTCATCTTCCTGGGGTTCTGTAGTTCTGATGGCCTGTGGAGAAGAGCAGGACAGGTTTTATCTTGAGCTCATATTGTTTTGAATTGTGATATGATATTTAAAATGCACAAACCATTTCAGAGGGGCCGCTTTTCTCTGACTTCGTTTTAGTTTGTCCTGACGGAGTGGCAGCAGCTGATCGATCCAGCACTTCGTAAATAGACCTGTGTCGAGGCTCCAGACTCTGAGGGAGTTTCACAGTGTTCAAGAAATCATCAGCTCAGAATCATAAAAGACACTGGATAAAAATGAATGTGACTAAATTTAACTTAGTAAAATATCTCCATCTGGACAGTGATGAGTGTAAAGGTTCGCACAGCATAGAAAGAAGTAGACTGAGCTGCTGTCGTGTCCACGTTGTCTTCCTCTACTTCTGTCTTTTTCTCGTCTTCTCTGTTCTGCCCTTTTGTTCCATCTCCACACTCAGGGGTTGTCTTTGTCTAAACATTACAAACATTATTTTGGAAGATGCTTAAAAGATGTTATGCAACAGAAAACGTTCTGCTGTTGGAAAATGACTAATTCTAATGGTCATAAATTATTTTTCTGATATTCTGGTCATTTGAGAGTTGGAGAACAGTCACATATTTCAAAACACTGCAGCACAAGACACACAGCAACACTATCCACGCAGCATGCTGTTTCCTAACTCCTGATTGTCACATGTCTTACCCAATGTCCTCTGAAGACAAACACTGATCCGAACACACTGAAGAGCAGCAGCACAGCAGTGAAGACGGCCACAATGAACTCTGTGTAGTCCACCCCCATGAGCTCCTCGTAGCCTTTAGCTGGAAAACACACATCAGTCATTCTCAGCTTGGACACTGGAACGCAGCACAACTGGACGGCAGAGGTTCACCGACTGATCCCACATCTGCCGATCCACTAACAACCAACCGGGGGAAATATTTTAAGATCAAAGAAACTTTTGCACCTGCTGTCAGAAATGTCTGGAGTTTTTTTGAGCATGAGGCCTGACTTAAAGAACAAATCCATGCAGTGAAGACAAAAAGGCATTATTTGATACAAAACTAAAACAAAAAAAACGTTTAAATTGTGTGAAACCTTTTAGAATAAAAAAAACAAAGGGAGTGATTTGAGAATTGTTTAAACACCAAATGTATTCAGTAAGATTGAAAGACAAGATATATACAATATATATTTTAATAAAACAAGTTTTTTGTTTTGTTAGTGACAAATATTAGTTCTTTTTAAAATGAAAAACGATAGCATTCCTTGAAAGAATGCATATCTGGAGTGGCAGAGAAGTATGTTAGACGGGTACAGGACATGAGGACAGCAGGACAGTGGTGAGATGTGCTGTAGGAGTGACAGATAGCTTCAAGGTGGAGGTGGGAGTGCATCAAGGATCGGCTCTGAGCCCCTTCTTCTTTGCTCTGATGATGACTAACAGATGAGGTCAGACAGGAATCCCCATGGACTATGATGTTTGCAGATATCGTGATCTGTGGTGAGAACAGGGAACAGGTGGAAGAGAACTTGGAGAGGTGGAGGTATGCATTGGAAAGAAGAGGAATAAAAGTCAGCCAGAGTAAGACAGAGTACATGTGTGTGAATGAGAGGGAGGAGGTGGAACAGTGAGGCTACAAGGAGCAGAGGTCACAAAGGTGCAGGACTTCAAGTACTTGGGGTCCACTGTCCAAGAAAATGGGAAGTGTGGTAAAGAGGTGAAGAAGAGAGACCAGGCAGAATGGAGTGGATGGAGAAAAGTTTCAGGAGTGATTTGTTACAAAAGGGTGACAGCAAAGGTCAAAGGAAACGTTTACAAGACAGTGATGAGACCAGCTATGTTGTATGGTCTGGAGACAGAGACATGGACTAAAAAAAAACAGGAGACAGAACTGGAAGTGGCAGAAGTGAAGATGTGGAGGTTCTTCTTAGGAGTGACAAGGATGGATAAGAATGAGATCATCAGAGGTACAGCACAGGTTGAACAACTGGGAGATAAAGTTAGAGAGACCAGACTGAGATGGTTTGGACATGTCCAGAGGAGGGACAGTGGTTTGGACATGTCCAG